TTTTGGCCTCAAAATCCCCCCCCACTCACTCATCCCAAGTACTGGGATTATAGGTATGAGCCACTGCACATGACCCATGTCAAAAATGTCAAGTGGCAGTATTAGCCCATGAGCAGGCTGCTTGAAGAATGTGCACACTTCTGTATGTTTCAAAGTTGAAATCTCCGAAGTTTTTAATGCATTACTTCAAACTCTTGTTCAGCCTAAAACTGGAACTTATTTTCTAGCATTAAGTTGAGATTCTGAGTTTAAATAGGCAGCAGTTTCTCTCAGCTGTCATCATTTCTATCAATTTCCATACTGTCCCAGAAAAACCACAGGAGTCACCAATTTTCTATTAGACTAAAACAGAAAATATGACCAAGTCACTGTTTATAAAACTGCTTTGGTCAGAAAAGAACATAAAATTTTGATCTGTGATGATAGGGAAGAAGTTTCATTGGTGGGTTCTCCCTAAGAGAGTGGATCAGTCCAGCTTATTTGAAAAATCACTTCTGTAAGACTACTGCTCAGAGACCTCTTTTTTTTTTTTTTTAAGAGAAAGAGTCTCATTTTATCGCCCTCAGTAGAGTGCATGGCATCACAGCTCACAGCAACCTCCAACTCCTAGGTCTAGGTGATTCTCTTGCCTCGGCCTCCAGAGTAGCTGGGGCTACAGGTGCCCACCACAACACCTGACTTTTTTGTTGTTGTTATTGCAGTTTGGCAGGGTCTGGGTTCAAACCCACCACCCTCAGTATTCCGGGGCTGGTGCCCTACACACTGAGCCACAGGTGCCGCCCCCAGAGACCTCTAAAGCAGTTGTTCTCAACCTCTGGGTCGTGACTCCTTTGTAACAATGAAAATACATCATACATATCAGATATTTACATTACAATTCATAACAGTAGCAAAATTAGTTATGAAGTAGCAACGAAAATAATTTTATGGTTGGGGTCATCACAATATGAGGAACTATATTAAAGGGTCATGGCATTAGGAGGCATTAGGAAGGTTGAGAACCCCTGCTCTAGAGTGTGTGCAGGGGCTAAGTGTGCGGGTGTGCATTTGTGAAGGGGAGACAGAGAAGAGAACTTTGTCTGGAATAAGACTCATGATCACTGTTCCCTTCCACCTTACCCCTGCTGCAGTGGTGGTGCTGAGATACCAGGGATTGATCAAAAGGATGAGGGTGTGCTGGGGACCGTGTGGATGACAGGCAGCACTTTTCAGGAGAGGAGGAAGCTCAGCATCTGCCAACAGTCTTGTGTACTTACAAAACAATGGGCCCATTGGGCTCTGGTTGAGGCATGGAATTTTGGTTTACACAGACGAGATTTAGACAAGACTCATTCAGGACTCCTTTGAGTCTTTCCTAAGACCGTGCTAGGAGAAACTCCTATGAGTCTTTCCTAGAATAATGCTGGTGAAAACAGTGCCACAAAAGCCTCAGCTATTTCTCCAGCTGTATCGACAGTAGTTCCACATTCTTGCAGCCAAAATATGTAGACATCTTCTTCCTATTATTTCCTCCCTCATATGATGTATGTATGCATGCAGCTGAGGTTGTCAAGTGATGAATGGGTGACACGGTCATGCCCCATTTTTCCATAAACATTAAAAATCAGCAAAAGATTGCTCTAGGGGCCCAGTTCTGCCATCTTGTTCTTCCATGGAACAAGCCAGTCAATGCTTCATTACTCCTCAGTGCTGTATAAGCCCCCTTCTCCCTTTTGAATTTAGACTCTATTCCTACTGATTTCTGCTTTACTATCTCACATGATGCCAGACTATCAGCTTTGTTCTCAGTAATGGTGAATCCAGTCGTACTGTTCTTTGAGATTCACAGATGTTCCCTTGTTCACCTGACCATGAAATCCTCTTTCCTCTGCTTACTCTATTCTTCCATTCCTCTGTTCTTTCATACCCTTATTCTTCAGATCTGAATTTAATTACTTCTTCCAGAAAGGCTTCCCCAACCCAGATTATGTGGGTTATGTACCCTGCTTTTAACTACCTTCTTGTCCAGGATTATCTTTATACTTATCCCTATAACGACAGTTAGTCACACTTTATTTCCCCTCACTAAACCACAAGCTTAAGGTAGGAAACTATTATGCTTTGCTCACTTTTGTGTCCTCAGTACCTAATACATTTTAGGGTAACAAATTTGTTGACTGAATTAAGACACACACGCAAGAGATTTCGAGTTAAGATGAGTAATCTTTGGCAGTTATATAATATTAACTCAGATTTGTGTCCTCTCTGAACACACCAAAGACAAATACAACAGTCAGTCACTTTGGTGATAGGAAAGAAACTTTTTCTTCCTGGCAGGCTAAAATATGTGACTCTTCAGAAACTTAGGAACTAACCTATAATCAAGCTGCTCTCAACACATGTGTACACACACACATGCACACACCCGTGCCCCTGTGGGATCAAGACTGAGAATAAAGTCAATACCGGAGAGCCTCAGTAGGGCCAGCCCTACAATGACTAAAAGAATCTGCTCTCCCAGAAAACAGTGATGGAGCACACATGGAGCTGTTCTATGTGAAGATGTAGGTTGTTACTGTACACATTTTCGAAGTATTATAGATTAAGATCGTGGGCTCTAGATGATCAAAATGCTGATTTTGCAATCTGGCCAACTCTATGACCTTGAGCCAGTTACTAAGCACTCTGGGTCTCAATTTCCTCATGGATAAAATAGTATATAAAGGCACTTTTCTCAAGAGAGTTGTTGGGATAACTGAAGTAATCAATATACCACGCTTAGGGTTCCTTACAGTCACATAGTAAGTGGTTTATAAACGGTGACTACCGGTAACTGAAATACACAGTCCTTGGTTTATCAACCAACTAACCCTGGTTGCCCTTATGAAACTCTGCTTTTCCTAAGAATACCTTTTTACATCCCTGCCATAGCCACTTTGCCCAATATATGGACTTTTTAAAGAGATGGAGTTTTGATATAAAGTCTTTTCTTTAATACCTATTGAAAGCATTGTTTTTAATAATGCCGTATTTACAGGTAAACAAGACTCATTTTTCAACTTGTATCCACATGGAGAAGTAGAAGTAAGCCAACCCACTTGCCTCGCAACACCTTTTATCACAAAGTATTTATTGAACAAAAATAATATGACAGTAAAAATGATACATACATGAAAGTGAACGAAGATTTGCAGTCATAGAAAATACGTGTACAAAGAGACCAACGTTCAGGTTATATAGTTCTATAAAACTTTAGCCATAGCACTTTAACACTGATCAAGAAGACATATGGAAAGGAAAATAAAGTTCCTTAATGTTCTTTGAAATCTATTTTCTGACTAAAATACTCCTGTCAAAAACACACACACAAACAGGATGAGGCAGAGCTATAAGAATGATACTTCAATATCTCCAGTTCTCTGATTATTGTACAGCAAGAATTTTGACCCATCAAAAATTGTGGTATTTTTTCCATTTCTAATAAATGGATCTAGGGAATATCAAGGTATTTGGAGAAAAAGAAAACAAAAATCAGATTTATAGTTATTTGAATAGTTCTAATCAGCACTTGCTTGCAAAAATTATACTAAATATTTGGGGTTGAGAGATTTTTGTAGATTAATTTCCTTTGGTTAGTTTCTCTGTAAGAATCCTGCATTTTGTGTTCTTATCTGGCAGAACAATTCTTAAATGATCTTTATCTGGTATTTTACGAACATACAGTTTGGGACCAGAGCTAGAGGCATGGGGAAAACAGACTGAGCACCAATCACTGGCCTCCTTCAGTGGGCTGCGTGGCCTTCAGCAACTCCCAGCTTCTGGTGTGCCCTTGTCCTGAGCTGGATACAGGTAGTGAGAGGCATTCTCAAAGGCCCCTTATAGCACCAACGTTTTACGTTCGGTAAATATCAGCTCCCTGGACTAGCGCCTTTTATTATAATACGAAATTAATGTTACCCCCTAACAGGTTAAGGATAGTTTCTATTTGTGGATTTTGGAAACAGTCTCATTACTTTACAGCCAAAAAATTTCTTCTCTTGATCAGGGCACACATCTCTACAGAGATGCTCAATTCCAGTTTTACACTTCAAAATCTGTAAGTAGCAAATCAATTATCTCAGATTTTCTGAATTCAAGAAACGTGTTTTCAATAATTCTCATTTTTTACCTTTTCTCTTACTCCCTGCCATTTAATGCCTAATTGGATCAGTTATTTAGTTATAGCTCAAATTGATTTCTTTTACTTATAGTGAAGAATTGTAATGAACCTAATCTTGAATTTAGAGCTGTTGGTACTTTCCAGTTCTCAAATCATGCATTAGAATATTCTACTTCATGTACAGGGGTGATGCCTTTGGACTGGATTTTGGAAGGAACAGAAAATGTGTTTGTTATCACTGCTCCAGACTATACTCTACACAGGAATTGACTGCAGTGTTCCAAATTGTTACACAGTCAGTTCCACAACAATGAGGTTTCTGAAGAATTTTTCTTATCTGATTTCCTTCAGTCTCACCATAGATGTTGTAAAATATAAAGCAGTGTAGCTTACTTCTCCCAATCGCCAGGCCTTCCATCCTCCTAGTTCTCTATTTGTATTACAGCACTTTTTTAAAATCCATCAAAAATTATGAATACCAATACATGCACAAAGATAGCTGATGTTACAGAATTGTTTCTTTGTTGTTTAGATTTATCACTGGTCTGTGGGCCTCTTACAAAGCATCAAGTTATTCAATGTTAATTATCATTCCAGCGATTTAGGGAAACCCTGACCCACACTGACACCATAAATGTCAGGGCTTAGGATGCTCTACGGAAAACTGAGACACCAGGGCAAATGGTTTTCTTTAATGAGAACATGCTAACCTAAGAAATGTTCTAAGGGCTTGGATAGCGTGAACTTGGGGTAGCTCAGATTTGGGGGGGCAAGGAATCTAAAAGATACTGTTCACAGATATGAGGTGAGATTTTCAAAGTTCATTTTAAAAAATGCACCTTAAAATGTTTTCTTTTTATGCATGTTTATTGTCTAAATATGGCTTAGTTCATTCTTACAAAAACATTACTTGGACATTACATTTACTGGATTTCAGTTCAAAAGAGGTTCTAAGGCAAATTTTATACAATTGAAAGCAAAAAAGGAAAAAGTGATATGAATATGCTTTCATATTGCCCACTTGTGAAAAATAATGAAATTCTAATAGAGAGCTGTTTGATAACTCATTTTTCTCTTTCAAACATTTTCTCTTAATACTAAAAAATATATAAACCATTTACATAAAACTAAATGGAAAGAAGGCACAGCTGGTTATAGTGTATATAAGCACAGTTCAGCATATGCAGAATTAATGAGAAAAAAAGCTTCACATCCTTATTAGTTATAATGAAAACCATTAAAAAAAAGTTCCTCACTGTCAACAGTGTTCAACATTTAAGAGCTAAGAAGATATAAAAACAAAAACATTAAAATTCACTTAATGCAAAACAGATTTTCATATATACTTGAATATATAAAAAAAAACAGTTTTTAAAATGCTAACATAAATCTAGACTATCCATGTTATGAAAAGTGCAAACCAAATTAACAGGGTTTCACAACATCTTTCCCATGACACAGGTAAACTAGCACATGGGGACACTTTTGTTTCACCAGTTAATGAGTCCTTAATTGTGGCGAGACGTCATCAGGATTTCTGAGAGTTGGAAGAAAGCAGGACTGGAGAAGCAGCTCTGTCCAAACTGGGGATTGGCACTGGCATGTGACCATTAAGCAGTGTGGGGAACTGTAGGGGACAAAAGATATTTCAGAAAATTATTGCCCATCTGTTGGAAAGAACTTGAGTTCTTTATATTCCCAAACAGACCATAGTGGTTCAGATCTCTCATCACCCCGTCACGATCAGTTGCGATCTTATTTTACAAAGTAATTAGAAGATGACAAAAAGACAAAAAGAACAACAGAGGATAAGACCGATTCTGTATGTGTAAACTACTAATAGGTACTTTATTTGTTGCTAGAGTATGGTTTTTGTCTTGAGACAGGGTCTTGCTCTGTCACCCAGGCTGGAGTGCAGTGCACAATCATAGCTCACTGTAACTTCAAACTCCTGGGCTCAGCCTCCAAGTTTAGGATGAATTTTTTTCTCTTCTAGAGCTGGGGTCCCACTTTGTTCACCAGGCTGGTCTCTAACTCCTGGCTTCAAGTAATCCTCCCACCTTGGCCTCCCGAAGTACTGGGATTACATGAGCCACTGCTTCTAGCCGCTCATACTATTTTTTAAAGGTTCCAAGCTATTTGCTATTTACAATGTTGATTTGCTCTAAAAATCAAGAAACAAATTTTTCTGAAAACCTTAGACGCTACACATGAGTCAGTAATTTCTAATACTCTATTTTGAAATTTGCCATCAGTTGTCCAGACTATTGTACACAAAGATGTTTCCCAGTAACTTTAAAATCAGGAATGTTTTTATCTTAAAAGATTTAGGATAAAAGATTATCTTTATTTTGGACCTGAGAATGTATTCTTTCCAATTAAAATGGTAATTTACATCAGACTTATTAGATCACCCATAAGTGATAAAAAGCAAAATTAATTTGTGTTATTGGTAACCAGAATGATTAATAGTAGTACAAGAGGCATAAGCTTTAATAACAAGTTTCAGTCTAAAATACATCAGTTGTAATCCCAACTGGGTAAAAATAATTAAAGGCCTCCTTTTGGTTCATAACTATGAACTAGATTTTTCATTGTCTAGATGATGTGTCGAAACCATTCCCTGGGGTTATCTTTTAGAATAGCCTAACTCCAAATTTCAGCACTAAACATCAAATTACAGAGCTTGGCACACGTTAGAAACACAATAAATACCTATTGCAAAATGTATTTTACTATGTTTTATTTTTCAAGCTGTTTCAGTAACTTGTGTTTAGTGCCTCAGATTTATCAAGGGTGGTCTTGTCATTGGATTTCTAGGGGCTGTTACCTAAGTTTGGTTGACCCCGTTTTACAGATAAGAAAGAGTTTTCAGATAAGTTCTGCTGGCTAAAGGACTCAGCTAATAAGCAGCAAAACCAAATTTGAAACTGACTAAAATCTTTCTGTACCAAACTGCCCAACTTTTAAGGGGCCGAGAGGCACCTTTAGTTACTCTCGTGGGTTCTTTAAAGCTTATTGGTGTATTCAGGTTTTTATTTCTTTTCTGAACTTTGGAGTTTTCATTCTTTTTCTTGAATTTTATCCATTTTCAACTGTGTTATCAAAACTATGCACGTTAAGTTTATATTCTTTAGGGTCTGTGCTCCTGACCATTCTTCCCCTCAAGATGAGCACTTGGAAGTTGGACAAGTTTTGCATTTTCATTCTTTGGGTTTATTCGCATCTTCCCTCTTTTTGGTTTTTATCCATTTTATTGGTGTTTTCAAAAGAAATCAGTTTTGGTTTTGTTAATCTTCTGGGTTTTTTTTTTTTTTAAATAAATTGCTGATTTCTTCCTTTAGCTCTTTATTTCCATATGCGCAACCCCCATAGACCCTGGCTTTTCTAGCGTATCTCATGGTCATCTTCATTGGCTCATCTCCTCCCAAAGATCCTTTCTTAAATTGCAGCATTCCCCAAATTTTGGTCCTCAGCCTTCTTTCCACCAGTACCAAGCCTGGGCTTGACAAGCGTCCCCAACCAACGCCCCTTCCCCACAAAGCCCGCTCTTCCCGTGCTCACTCTACATGGGTGAAAATGGTGGTTAGGAACACACACCTCAACTTGAATCGGGGCTCTGCCACTTATTAGCATATAATCTTGGGGAAACTGAGTAACATCTCTATGCCTTAAAGAACTTTCTCTTTTTTAAAGTAGAACTATTGGGAGCATTAAATGAGAAGCCACAGAAAATGCTTTTATAACCATGTCTGGCGCACAACAAACCCTTAATAAATATCACCTATCGGCACTAGTAGCATTTCCAGTCTTTTAATCGCTTAGTAATCTTTGCCTCTTTCTACTTTTCATACCTACTTACCCCTCAAACCCTAAGTCTTCCTCTCAGTCTTGCCTCTTGCCTCTGAAATGTCTTCTAAATTTATGCCAGTGTCCACTGTTTTAATCCAAAAGGTGATTCTTAGCTCAGTCTTTACAGTTTGATAATTGCCTGTTATCTTACTGTCCTTTCCTCTTGCCAGTTCTTCCTCCACCCTGGTAGCAGTGAGTGATATTTTTCTAAAATAGAGATGTCACCTTCCCTGGCTCCAGCTTATAAAACCTTAACAACACTTAAACAGATTCAGGGAGAAAGGCCTGAGCTCCTACTCAAGGCCCACAGCAGCTTCCCGGCCTGGTCTCCTTTTACACAGTCCCTTCCTGAGCAGGCGTGTGTGTCCCCATCACCCAGATCAAGCCGTCTACAACGTGGTCTCTATCGCAGTCCAGTCCCTTCTTGCAAGCTCAGATGCCGCTTCTACCTGGACCCTCTGTCCAGTCCCCAGCTGAAAAGAGCCACCGTGGCCTTTGGGTTCCTGTAGCACTTTGTTGACTCATCTGGTAGCCACATACTGTATGTCCCCAGAGGCCCTGCAGCAGAGCACTGCAAATATTTGCTGGGTTAGATTTGCTGAACTAAAAATTACAGAACACATTCTCCATTAAAAACCCAATTCGTTCCACTTGTTCCAAGATGTACCTGTCCGTGGTAGGTATATTCCAAATTGGATCAAAATGTTTTTCAAACGTGGTGGTGGAAGAGACAAGACTGTCCAGTTGGAACAGCTTTCACTTGGTACACCAAGGTTCTACGTTTACACTTAGCACAACGTCTCTGGCACTTGTCTTCTTCACTGACAGGTTTCTCGGTCACAAAGCATACCTCTTCTAGAAAGGTGTCTTTTCTTCCCTTTCCTTCCCTGAAATTCTTCAATATCTGCTGTAACCTGCTGTAATCACTGTATCAGGGGACCTTTTGTAGAAAAGGCCCTCCTCTGTCAACTGTTAACCCCAGGATTCTGAACCTTCCTGGTGGGAAACCTGCCAACATCACTTACCATCTACAGGCCAACTCTCTTTTTCTTCCTTCAACACGTTGACAACATATGTGAGAAAGGTTTGTTATTTTGAAAGAAAATTATTTTCTTTAGTTTAAATAGGACATTGCTAATAGCAATCTGTATTCTAAAAATCTATCCACTGTAATGTCTAGCTTTAAAAATCAGAAGCTGTTACTCTTCTTGCCCTGTTTTGTTTTACCATTTTCAGAACTGCTACTTTCAGCTTTTACCACATTTAATTGCTCTTTTCATAGGAAGAGTAATAATATTTTTAAAGGTACAAAATCGGTTTTCCTTAGTCTCATGGATCTGACCATGAAAAGAGGGCCCAAGGCCATGCAACCCATCTGCCATCCAGACCAGGTTGTATTTTTTCCCCCAGGGTTATATTCTGAATGGCTACAGCATAGAAAACAGGTCCATTGGTGAATTAATTTTAATTTGGTGAAATTAAAATTAAAGTTAAAATTCTACGCAGGGAGCCTTTAACGCAGTGATTTCTTCTGCAGAATTCTAAATGGAAATTAGGAGCCTCTGGTTTGCGGTGCTTCTTAGACTGTGATTCCGGACCAGAAGCATTGCTAGGAACTTGACCAAATATTTTCTTTCAAGAAATACTGATAAAGTCCCATCTCAGACCTACTAAGTCAGAACTCGGGGGTTGGGACCCAGAAATCTTCATTTTAACACACCCTCCACATGACTCTGCTGCACACAGACTTTGAGAACCACCAGCCTACAGCCGTGACTAAAGAGCAGAGGGAATGCACAGCTCACACAGAGCCCAGTAAAGTGTGGAGTCATCCCTGTGGACAGGACCATTGTTACTATTGAGAGTACTGGGCTGGAAAGAACCCCCAATCAATAATTCTCCACGGCTTTGGTAGGAGGGCACCAAGCACTACCACTCAGGGGGCAGAATTCCCAGTAAGAGGAAAACAAGAGGCCACTTACTGTTCACCAATACTTACTACACTCGGCAGAAGCTCTCTGTGAGATTCCAGGATGGGAGGAGTAATATAGCCCAACCCCCTTGCAGCTCCCCTCTGCCAGACAACTCCCTCCTGTTCTACTAAACACTACTGATTTACTCTGATTTACTCTCGAGACTTTAAGGAAATGAGCTGTTTCTATCTCCCCACCAGAGAATTAGTATTCTCAATTTAAATTTTTCCTAATACTGTATTTGCTCATTGTTCTTTATTCACTGTTTCAATTACTTTCCTGCCTGAGTTAGAACTGGTTAAAAAAGCAAAGTGTTGGCTATGCATCACCATAGCTCACTTTCTTGTGATGGGAATAAAGGCGGGTTGGTGGGGAGAGACAGAAAGCTGTTTAGTCCAGGGATGTAGTCACATCAGAACACCCTACTCCAACCACACTAGGACACCAAAGAAGCACAATAGCAATCAGAACCTCGTGAGCTCCACCCTTCTTCCAACAAGACCCTAAATCCCAGCACGTACAGCTCCTGGCACAGGGAAATGCGGGGCAGATAGTAACCTCAACAAGCAAAATGACCAACTCAGAAGATCATGGAGACTTGACATTTTTAAACCCCTTACCTTTCTCGACATCTCTTTTGCAAGTTCATTTACATAGCGATGATTATGAGCATCATTTGTGTGCCAAGTAATGTGCTCGGTGCTAGGGAACAAACACCACAGTGAGCAGGACACAGTTCTGGTCTACTGGGGAGACTGCCAGATCAGCAGAAAGTCCCAAGGCTAAGTGCTAAGTGCAGCGGGAGCCAACACGCCTCGGGGCAAGCCACACTGGGGACAGGGAACACAGGTTGGGTGAGACAGCGCAGAGGAAGTCTGCACCCAGTCTACCCTTGCTCCATTCCTGTCCCTAGGATCCTTGCCACCTATACTCACATACTCACAGTAACACCTTGGTCAGTGAGTAACAATCTTTGGGTCTTAAAAAAGGAAATACTAGGGTGGGCTTGCCATGGTGGCTTATGCCTGTAATCCTAGCATTCTAGAAGGCCAAGGCAGGTGGATAGCTTGAGCTCAGGAGTTTGAGACCAGCCTGAGCAACAGCAAGAACTCATCTCTAAAAATAGTTAGGCACTGTGGCAGGTGCCTGCAGTTCCTGCTACTTGGGATCCTTGGGCAAGAGGATCTCTTGAGCCCAAGAGTTTGAAGTTGCTGTGAGCTATGATAACAAAGCACTCTATCAGGGGGCAACAAAGTGAGACTCTACCTCAAAAAGGAGGGCGGCGCCTGTGGCTCAAGGAGTAGGGCGCCTCATATACTGGGGGTGGCGGGTTCAAGCTCAGCCCCAGCCAAAAAACTGGAAAAAAAAAAGAGGAAATGTTGGTTTCCACATGATAGCTAGTGATGCCACTGCAAGGTCACAGTGCGTGCGTGAACACAGAATGCTCATCCAGTAGAGTTCTGTGGGACAAAGCAGCTAAGTCTTTGTTATTTTTTAACCAAACATGCTGGATACTCCTTTTATAATTACAGAACAAGGAAAACTTGATCGTGATTCACAGAATCATCAGGTAACTTTTCTAGCCCTATATGAAGAAATAGTATAGTATTTTTATTTTAAAATTCATTTCAAAGGAATTGCTACATTAATGGGATTTTTCCTTCATTTGGAGGCTGAGTCTCTCACTCTATCACCCTGGGTAGTTTCTTCTATTTTTAGTAGAGATGGGGGCGTCTCACTCTTGCTCAGGCTGGTCTCGAACTCCTGAGCTCAGAAGATCCACCCACCTCAGCCTCCCAGATTATAGGCATGAGCCACAGCACCTGGCCTATTAGCAGGATTAATATTTTAAAGTCTTTTATGAGATTTTATTTTAAAAAATATGTTTTTAAGTTCTACCTTTTCCTATAAATTCCTAGTTTTCATAGTCAAATGAAAATATCCAAAACACCTCAACAATGAGTTGTGCCAATATGGATACCTGGCATTTCTGCCTCAGTGACGACATCTGCCTCTGCAGGTTCATCAGTAAGAACTCCCTTTCACATTTTCACCATACATACAGCAGAACTCACTGTCACCTTTGCAGGAGTGAGTTTAAAGAAAAAGTATTCCTTAGAAGTTCAACACGTAAAAGCTCATTTCCAAATGCTCACCTGGAACAGTGTGTTTGGTCCTTGCAGCCTGGCAGGACTCAGGGGAGCAACCGGACTGAGGCTGCTCCAGAAATGTATGCTGGACAGCAGTGGACTCGGGGTCAGGAGCAGTCCATTTGGTGTCTGTGAAGCAAAGCAAACAGACGTTTTGATACAGGTTCACCTGGCTGCAGCCATGATCAACAGCAGCAGAGTGGATAGGTGTGCTGGCCATGGGCCAACAAACAGCCTCACCAGCTCAGGAAAATCTCAGCAACTTTATACCTATGAGGCTGTCAACAGTTTACTTTTAATTTTCTTCAATGCTACTTGTATCAACAATTTCATAAAGGAAAGACCTTTTGACAAGTTACCTTCCCTAAGCATTCTGGTGGAAAACTCATTTTGCCCAAATGGTTTACCTTCACGAGCTCCCCCACCTCAGATTAAACAGGAAGAGTTAGTGCTTAAGAGAACGGGATCCCTTGGCTTGGCACCCGCAGCACAGTGGTTATGGTGCCAGCCACATGCACCGAGGCTGGCAGGTTCGAACCCGGCTAAACAACAATGACAACTCTAACAAAAAACAGCTGGGTGTTGTGGCGGGTGCCTGTAGTCCCAGCTACTTGTAGAGAGGCTAAAGCAAGAGAATCATTTAAGCCCCAGAGTTTGAGGTTGCTAGGAGCTGTGACACCACAGCACTCTACTGAGGGCAACATAATGAGAAACTGTCTCCAAAAAAAAAGAAAAGAAAGAAAACAGGATCCCATAAAAGGGCTTCATCTCCTCTTATCTGTATTTTCTTAGTTTTCTGCAGTGTATATCCATTACTTGGGTTGCAAATACACTTTTTAAAAGCCTCCCAGGCTTCACTATCCACATCAACAACCCTTCAACAAGTTTAGGATTTGCTGTTAAAATACCCTGTTGCGGCTTCTTCAAAAGCTCTGAGCAGGTTTTCCATGTTCCACTCTGGACGTGGAGTTGATGAGAGTCCATCGTCCAGCAGTGGTTTGGAGGAGGGGCCACCTTATCAGCCTGGGTGTAAAGCCAAGGCTCGGGGTTGCCTGGGAGAGCACCAGGGACTGCACTTGTGGGCACATGTGCACAGGGGTCCTGGCACGCAAGCCAGCCAGCGGGGAATCCACGGTGGCCAGCTGCACCTTTGGTGACTAGGAGCCCTCGGTGGCTTTGTGATGTCAATGAGGTGCTCTGGGTAAGCAGCACCACAGCAAAGGCGCCCACCCTTCTGACTGCATCATGCTGGACGCTAACGTGTTATTTTTTCTTAGAATTGGCCTCTGTGGCGTCATTAATTATCAAGAGCATTTGGCTTAGACCTACATTGAAAGGTCTGCTCTGTCCAGCAGAATGGAAACACACATGCAAAGCTCCTCTGTAAAGCTACTGAAAGGTAAACACATTTACACCAAATTGCCTGAGTCGTTGGTTCATGGTATTTCCTACATACTGAATGACCTATGAGGTTAGCAGGATAAATACACGTCTTGAATAAGCTTCCCATTTGTTCTAGTCCTAGGCAGTTTCACAAGTATGCCAGGCCATCTGGCCTAACAGTTAAAAATTTAACAGCTCAGCATGAGCTCTACCAGGGTTCCAATCTCAGAATTGCTACTAACTACCCAGGTGACCCCAGGAGGCAGGTGATGGACCCTCTATGCCTCAGTTTCCTAATCTGTAATATGGGGACAATAAAAAGTACCTACAGTTACAGGTTCTTAGTATGTACTTGGCACACAGAAATGCTGGGCTAGCATTAAAGACTGTTCTCAGGCTCAGTACTTCATATGTATTTTCAGATGAAGAAACAGTAATTCAAAGTGTATCTGACATACTAAATGCATTTTGTCTATTCATGAGAGAAATTCTCAACTGCATATAGAAAAGTACTTAATGGTCTAAAACAAACTCCACTGAGTCAGATGGATCTTTCTGGCTCCTCTCAGTTGTGTTAGGCTCAAGTCCACAAGTTCAGGTGATCTAAGAACTACTATTTGCATGTTACTCTGGGGACAGGTTCCAACCACAGTGTGTCACATTAATCCATAATGACCAGTGTGAACAGGGTCTTCTGATTTACCCATCAATCAAAGTTCTCAAAGCACTGCAGAGACAATGAGTCTTTGGAACCACAAAACATAGCTATTCCTTCATCCATGGCCATAAATACCCACCCATTCCTTTCTAATCCTCTGAGCAATATATAAGGTACAGAATTTATATTTCCATAGTCTAAAATTTGCACCCATGTCTGGATTTGAGACGTTTGCACATTTGTTTCTAAGGGATACAGGATGTACTCAGAATACAGTAGCCTTCTGTTTCTCGTGTTTAATATGTCTGAAATGTCTCCTATAATATATGCAGATAAACACTGTGAAATGACTTCATTCCCTCCTCTACCTCCCATCCTGTTCTCCCTGAAGATCCTGTGGCCTTAAAGAAAGAACTATTTGGTTGCTTTTTTTAAGGAAAGTTGCTATAAAGCCTGCCCTGGGTATCTCCTGGAGGCTCTGTTCACGTGGCCCTGGGGTCAGGCAGGGTGGGCTGAGCCTGAGGGCTGAGCACTAGAGAAGCCACAGGATCCCTGCTTCCTTTCCCTCCCCAAAGGCCAGCATGGCCCCTGAGGAGCTCCTGAACCCGCAGCCTGTCAGGGAAGGAGATGCCCGTGGGCAACTGGCACTCGACTAGCAAGGAGGACTGGGGACAACCTCGTCCCAGTGTCTCTGTTTCATTCTCACACTTAACAGAGTCTTCTAAAAAGTTCACATATCTGAGCCAAACAGGGTGAGCTGGCATCCAGACATGCCCACCTGTGCACCCTTGTGTGTGGCCCTCTGCCTGGGTCACATCCTCTAACACCTCCTCCCTCCTGCCCTGGCTCCCTGTGCCCCTCAAAATGCCACCTCCTCAAAGGACACTTTCCCTGTCTCACTCAACCAGATGGAATTTCTTTCCTCTGAATCTTTGGTAACACTTTGAAACCACTTTTTTTCTTAACATTTAATGTGTTCTGCCACGTATGTATTATGGTAATTTGCACATTTCCTGATACCTGTTTCCATAGCCTGGCAGGTATTTGCTCGTCTTTATTCCCTGTGTAGTTCTCAGCTCCTAAACACTGAAGCAATCAGCAGCGCTAAGTATGTCTTGTCCCTGGCACATTCCCCTGCTGGCAGCAGACCAGCACAGCTGGAGGTAAGTGGCCCTCAAGCTGGCAAAGCTTCCTCTGTCTTTATAGCCGCCCCCCAGCACACACTCGCTCCCGTCACCCCGAGCTCTGCCTCCTGTCGCATCAGCAGCGGCATTAAATTCTCACAGGAGCGCGACCCCAGCTGTAAACTGCACCTGCGAGGGATCTAAGCTGTGCAGTTCCTTAAGAGAATCTAATGCCTGATCTGAGGTGTAGAGGTAATGCGCTTGAATCATCCTGAAACCATATTCCCCACCCTGCAGTCTGTGAAAAATTATCTTCCATGAAACCAGTTCCCGGTGCCAAGAAGTTTAGAGACTGCTGCCCTATTGGATATCTTCCTTTGGTATGCCCACATGCTCAAACTTCATCACTTCCTTCCCACATCCAGCTTCTGAAGACTTCCCTTTGTCGACAGTATCACCATTTATGCAGCCCCTCAGCTCATTACAGAGTGCACAGTAGACGTCAGGTGTCAAAGACAAGCACAAAACAAGACATGGTCCCTGCACTCACAGGGCCAGGAAGCACCAGCCTCCAGTCACCATCATGCAAAATGCCTTCCACCCACTGCAGGCTCTGGACACGGCTTCTGAAGGCTTCCTTAAACTCACTTTCTTTCCTATTATCCCTTCATTTCCATTGCGTTGCACCCAGGCCCCTGTCACCTCACAGACGACATTCTACAAAAGCCACCTCACCCAGTCCACCTGCCCCAGGCCTCCCTCCCTGATTCTGTTACCAAATCAACTGCCTCGAAACACTATGTCCATTCAAAATTCTTTCATAGTTTCAGAAAAAAAGGGACAACCCCACAAATCAAGGTTCCCCTGGACCCTGGTTTCAGACACTGCCTAATCTCCATACATGAGATTCATCTCTCTGAATTTGCTTGATGTATCCTGAGCTCGTGTCATATACACAGAGAACCACAGAATTCCAACCTACCATCCTTACCTCCTACCTAAGCATTCATTCCAGAATGGCCCTGACCGCTCAGCCCAGGCTTCCCTGGCTTACAGACCTTTCCTCATCCATTTCCATGGCTTTAATCACTCTTTATGTGCCAATGATGCCCTACCTTTGCCTCTAGCCCCAGCCTCTTTCCTTAGCTCCAGATGGACTTATTCACCTGAAGGTCCTACAGGCTCCTCCAATTCGATATGCCCCAAGTTGAACCTTTAACTTTTTCCCCACGAATTCATCCTTCCTCCCATGCTCCTCATACTTAACCCAGATCTGTCCCACCCCCAACCCAGTGAGCCACCAGGTCCTACTGCTGGAATCCCAAAGTCTCTCTCCCAGCCACCCCCTTCCCCGGCCCCCACCAGCACAGCCTTCCACTGGAATACTACAATGGATCCTACGTGGCTCCAGCCTGCCCCCTTCCCAATCCACACCATCAGGGTGATTCCTAGCACACAGCTCAGATGGTCACTCACATCCCTTCCATGCTGCCCACTGCCACTTCTTTTACTGTTGTAATTCATCCTCCCACGTAACTGAACTGCTGTACCTACCTCCCCTGATCACAAAGCTGCCCCATGCCTTTATGCCCTGCCCCACAATGTTCCTCTGCCTACAATGCCCTCCTCACCCTGTCTGCCAGAAAAGCTCCCGATCCTTCAGCGCCCTGCTGAAGTTTGATCATTCCCTCTCCCCTACGTCTGGCACAGTTATTAACACTTCTCCCCTACTGTTCCCTCTATATTGTATCTGAGATACTATCTGAGGATACGGCAGGGAAGCTATGAGCTCCTAACTGGCAGGGACTATTTTACCCATTAGTGGAGCAGCTTACCCAGGCCTGTCATGGCTGGGTCCTAAGGTCATGACAACAGCATGGGTATTTCTGGCCTCCTTTCTAGGTCTTATAAAAAGAAAAAAAAAAAAAATCAGGCTCAGTGCCTGTAGCTTAGCAGCTTAGGGC